GATAGAGTGTCAGCTTGCAGACTGAAGAGTCCCAGGTTCAATTCCAGTCAAGGACATGTGCCTTGGTTGCGGGCACATCCCCAGTAGGGGTGTGCAGGAGGCAGCTGATTGATGTTTCTGGCTCTCTATCCCTCTCTCTCCCTCTCTGTAAAAAATCAATTAAAAAAAAAATATATATATATGCTACTAAATGACTAATGGGCAGTAGTGTACATAGTGTGGATACGCTGGACAAAAGGATCACTCACTTCCCAGGCAGGCCAGAGTGGGACCGCATGAGATTTTGTCACAATACTCTGAATAGTATTTAAAACTCATAATGGTATTTAAATTGTTTATTTCTGGAATTTTCCATGTTGACTGTGGGTAACTAAAATCTCAGAAACTGTGGGTCAGGGTGACTACTAGATTCTCTTAAATCTTTAAAAGTGTATGTTGAAGTACTCAGATAAAAGGAAATATTATAAGTACACATTATGTGAAAGAAAATGCATGAAAAACTTCGGTGTGTAATGTTTGTATTCTAAGGTTAGACATGCTGCCATAGTGGGTTTGGCTCAGTGGATAGAGCATTGGCCTGTGGACTATAGGGTCCCAGGTTCGATTCCTGTTAAGGGCACATGCCTGGGTTACAAGCTCAGTCCCCAGTAGGGGGCGTGCAGGAGGCAGCCAATCAATGATTCTGTCTCATCATTGATGTTTCTCTCTCTCTCTTTCCCTCTGAAATTATTAAAAAATAAAAAAATAAAGTTAGACATGCCATAAAATAGTTTCATGATGAAAGGCTCCAGTGAAACAATTTATTTGCCTTGTGGACTTAAAAAACTGCATAGAGGTATATAATTCAAAGGCTAAGAAAAAAAGAAAAATCCTTTTCCCATATCCTACTATTTATTTAGCACATTAAAGAATTAGCAAGATCCTGTTATAAAGCCTTGCTCACCAATTTTACAATATATTTCCAGGATAAATTATGGCAATTTAAAATGAGAATTATTAAAACAAACTAAAATACCCTGTTTTAGCTTTAACTATACTCTGTAAGGCCAATCTTGCATTTAATCTGTTTTATACCATAAATTCTAACTCTACTGCTAAACATTTCACTTGTAATTTTTTTTCATTTGGATCACCAGTAACATTTCTTTCTGGCTTGTATAAAATATATATGATGAGACTTAGAACTTAAGTACAAATTACTACTTAAGATATAGTTTTATTAAGCAGATTCCTTACAAAATCCATATTCAAAGCAAAATATGAAAAGTTATCAAGAAACAATGTCTATTGGAATTTTGGATTCCTAATTTTTTAGAGATGGCTTAAAGTTAGCAATTATATTCTAAATTAGAGGCCCGATGCATGAAAATTCATGCAAGAGTAGACCTTCCTTCACCCGACTGCTGTCACTGACTTCCCTCTGGCACCCAGAATCTGGCTGGCTTCCCTCTGGCCCCAGCTTTTTCAGGAAGGATGTCCGGAATGACATTTGGAAGATGTCCAGTTTAATTAGCATATTACCCTTTTATTATTATAGATAATTAAACATACATCTTTATATTCTAATCAGAGAAAAAAGAAGTCAGCCCAACTAAAACTTAAAAATTAAGTTCATTTCCATATTTCTTCCAAAATATTTAGCAACAGAGATGGTAACTTTTAAATTAAAATTATATCTAACATAGTCACTCATTGTTTACAATACTATTCACATTAAATGTTGAAAGGTAAAAGTCAGGGTCACTGGTAAATTTAGAAATTTATTTTAAACTTTTTAAACAATTTATGTAAACACTGTAGTTGACTTGTAACTTTTTTAGCCAACTCATTCCTTAGTTGCCTAAAAACTACAATTAGCATAATATATAAAACAGCACTACAGGAAACACAGGGAAGTGATGCATGAATTCTACTATGGAAGTCAAATGTTTGAGGAAAGAAAGTAAAGATAGTAGAAGGAAACAATAACATATCATTTGTAAGAACTGGTACTAAGTGCATTGGTCTTCCCCTTGTCCCTACCTTGTTGTTAAAAAAGTCAATGGCTAATTGAAATAATAAAACTAATACACTCCTGTAATTTATACACAGAATTTCATGTTTTTTTCTCAAGGTTATATAGGTTAAGTAACTCTGTTATTCTTTTTTTAATTTTTTATTGTTGCAGATGTTATTCTTTTGAGATATGTTGTAGTACTGAGGGCAAAGATTATAGGAGTTTTCTTCCTTTCTATCTTTTCTTTTGATTGCTTTCATAAGAAGATACACAAGATAATCACTTTTAATATTCATAAGAAATAAAATATATAATGTCAGAAATCCACAAACTTCTGAAATTTCATTTTATGTTTATGAGAGAAACTTCAAAGCTCATATAATTCTCCATTAAATTTATGTCTATCATGAAATCCAAAGCACACTCAATTTCTCAGGGAAAAGAGTACAGGAATCATCTCTTAATCCACCTGTGCCAGAACCATGAGTGGAAGAAGCAGATAGGGGATGAAATGTGAGCAAAATGCCCAATTATTAATACTGTCAAGGATGATGCCAATAAAAGTAAATGAAACACCCTTGGGTTTTCCTCACTTACATATCTAAGTTCAACATTATTGTGAACAATATTAATTCCAGTATGAAACTTTGTTTAACCTAAGTTCATAAAGAGCAAAAGAAAATTCAGGAAGTGAAGTTATGACCTCTTTAAAGATTTATACTTTCCTATTATATCAAAGTTCAATTATATTTTAGCAACTTAAATATATAATAACACTTTCAGACAATTAAAAAGATGACAGTATATTAACTAAAAAAATAGGTGCAATTCTTACTGTCATCAATTCTTACTGTGAGGCATGATTAAGGATGCTTTCTTCATGTGTCTGTCCTGAAAGATTGTGAGCTCTTTAAGAACAAGAATCATGGGTCCGTTGTTATTTAACTAGCCCAAATAGTACTTTACATACTGCAGGTGTTTTTTTTAAAATGTACTGATTGAATCAATTTTATACAGAGCATTGTGTATGTAGAACCTCAATTAAAAGATGTGTTATAATTTTTTTAAAAAGAGCTATAGAAGCTTCAGCTGATTCTTAGAAAAAAATGAGAGGAAAAACAGAATAGGACAACTAAAGCATGAATTGAGATTGAAATTGGATTCTGAGTTTCGTCTCTCATTTAAAAAAAAATTAAAGTATTAGCCAAAGGACACTAAAATTTTAACTAAGAAAGCAAAGAAAATGAACATGAATACTATTAATTTGGGAATTTAAAACATATATAACATTTTAGTTCTAAGTTTTAGTTCACAAATTCCAACTAACCACATATATGAATATATTAAAAGAAGTTATTGTCTTCTAAAACATGAAGGATATTTAACAGCTGCCTAAACAATCTTTTAACACAAGCTCCTGCATGCAACCATAATTCTCAGGGCCAAAGTTGAACAAGTTTGTCTTGGGAACAAAACTAAAAAGAGAGAACACAAAAGTAATAAAGAACAGAGTTATGATGAAGTCAAAGAATGTTTGTTTAGGACATCACTCATCTCCATCATCTGTTTGATTTAAAATTTTATTACAAAAGATGTCTAACTGCTGTAAATATTTTCCCACTAGGAAGAGATACTTACTGGATGTAAGTACTTTTTCTTATATTTAATTTTTAAATGCATGTACTCTTGTCCTTTAGCCTTTATATCTTCCAAGCATATCCCCAAAGGCAGTAGGAACCACAAGGAAGATGCTAAGAGAGTACAAAGAGCAGATCTTGCTCTGATCCATGCCATGAAAGTCATCTTCATTTCAATTAATTTACTTTGCCTTTATGAACTTAAGAGTCTTTCAAGGAGGTTGACATTTCACTCATCTGAAAAAGCTTGGAATGTGACAGGGAAAGGGAGGAGAAGTAAATCAACGGGGTTAGCAATTTTCCAGATGCAATGTATTTTTCTTCTTCTCTTCCACCAGAAATTTTAGAGAGTCTTCTGACATTTTAATTCCCTATGCAAAACCACAGTAGCAAAAAAGTGCTTACAGATGATATGTCAAAAAACAAACACACACATCAGTGCACTTGCACATAAAGTAAATATAAATCCAGATTCCCTACTCCTTTAACAGAATACACTTATTTCTTTTAGTGCATTTATTATATGTTTGTGTATACCGTGTAGTCGACAACTTTAACTTAAAAGCAACAGCAGGTTTTGTAACTTTCTTTGTGTCCGATCACTAAAGCACTGAGTCCATGCTGACTTTTTCACTCAAAAGATGGCATTTATGAAAAAAAAAAAAAGAAAAAAAAAACTGTTCTCATGACTATATTTTAAATCACACCGGAATATTTCAGTTTTCACCTTTAGCCACATGGTTTCAGGAAGCTGTACCCAAATATTTCATACAAGTGCTGGCTATTTTAGAAGAGTTCTTTTTGCATGGATTGGAAACTAAGCATCTAGGGATTTAAGAAAAAAAATCTTTAAATCCTCAGCAGCAGGGGATATGCCCATTGTTTTGGAGCCAGAAAGGGAGAGATGGCATTTAACTCCCCAAAACACCCCGCTTCCATATTTACCTGACAGCTCCGGGATCCTGACAGCTACCCCAGTGCATTTCTCCCTTTATCAAGTATTACTTTACAAGGGATTTCTTGTTGTGCAGGACTAACATAAATCAATCTATCACAGAGAAATTTATTTAATACATTTATTCTTTTAAGAAGGTTGCATGACCATATTTCACCGATGTGTACAATAGAAGAAAGTTACTACTAAAACAGAGTTTGTGGAGACTGGTGCATGGTAAACCTATTTAGTCCTCAGATGTTCACTCCTAGATTCTCATGTTAAATAATAACAACTATTCATTTAAGCTGGTCTCACTGTATATCTTGACCGTTAGCAATTCCACACACAGCAGCGTATTGTGATATCCTTTAAATATGAGCAATACGAATGTTTGACTTTTCCACTTAAAGAAAAATAAGAGCACTGTATGTTACATGGCCCATGAAATATTGGCAGTGTGCTCCTTGGCTTTCATCCGAAGGACTGCGATACTGGAAGACCTCCGCTCGAACTCTGGCTTGGTTTCAAACGCATGTCCATTGGTGGCCCCCGTCAGGAGAGAGTCAGTGAAAAAGTTGTTGAGGGGCACGTGGCTGAACTGGTTCTGGTGGTTTGAAAACCCTGTGTAACTGGAGTCTGTCCGAGGCGAGTGAGAGTAAGGCGTCATGCAGGAGGAAGTGTCACCACGTGGCACCATGCATGACGTGACCACAGAACCACCACTCGCATTGCCTGCCCACAGATTGTTCTGAATCTGGAACACAGAGAACAACAAGGATTACATTGACGCGTCCTCACGCTTTCGTTCCCTTGCTTTCCTTACACTGTATTTGCTCATTTTTGTTAGCTCTTCATTGTTTGCTCCTGATGGGTGGTCTGTAATTACATTCTGAGTATGTAAAGTGATTACTGAAAAATAATTATTTGAAAGATTCTTCCAATTTGTTTTACTGTGATAGATCACCGGAACCCACATACTTAACCACATAAAAATACTCTCAGAACATGTCAATCTCTTGAGTATTCTTTTTACAGTCATAATTTCTAAAATGAAATCTGGAAGATTTAGTCATGATTCATGGCCAATTCATGTGCTTAGAAAAGTGGTTTGAAAGGTGGTTTTAAGTTTAAATATAGTTTTCATATTTCTAAACAAATGACACAATTTCATTTTTTACGCTCCGTAGTTGGACTCAATGTGGCAGTTTTTGTTGGAAACAGTTGCTGACATTAAGCTGTTTGCTCTGTGGATATTTTTGATCAAACTCATTTTGGAAAATGTTTAACCTTTCATTGCCTTTTATTTCCTAACATCTTGAATGCATAGGTCTGTGAATATGAAAAATAAGTACATATTTTAAACATTTATTCTTTGACATATATGATTCAGTGATGTTACAACAGATGTATGACATGTAAAACAAATTTAGAATTTTAAAACATGATCATTACCAAATAATGGAAGCAACTGAGACAAATATTCAAGTATTAGCAAAAATATATGAATATAATGTAATTACTAAAAAACAAACATCATATTTATGATTGAAAACTGGAAATCTACATTTCATAGCACTAAATCTCTAGAGAAAACGGTTAGTACAACATTACCAACAAACACAAGTTTCTCTAAAGTTAGGAGCATGTAACAAAACCCTAAGTCAAATTTGCATAATATAAATTCTCAGTAGAAAGTAGATTAAGACTAGGTATCTAAACGAGGATAGAAATACAACAATCATATTACATTACTGAGAAGCACAGAGAATATCATGACAAATGGAAGGAACTGAGGGAAAACAGAAAGGAATATGTTGCGTGGTGAAGGGTGGCAGACATGCGGCCTTAGGAGATGAAATTTAACCTCTGTCTGCCTTTTGCAGCATTGTTGCAATAGATTTGTAGTGGAACACAGCAGCAATAGACACATTCATCGCATCTGGCTTTCTTTCAAACAACCATGATGATTAGGATTATCAATTACAATGTTTTCTTATATTTATTTTTATGCAAAGATTCCAGTTTACTACATCTGGCCTTTGGTGTGGCTTATAACACCCAAACTTAAATTGTACTTTTTAAAAACAACTTACTTCCAGTTTAAAGTAGAAAATATGTGAGTGACGCTTCTAGATCACACTGACAGAGAAGTTACTCTTTCACACAAGAAAGACCATGTAACCAGTTTCAAACTGAACATCTGATTTCATCTCTTAGGTAGGACTGCAACAATTGGCAAGATGCTCATTTTAGTTATATTCTAATGATAGTTCTTTATATGAATATTTTGTAAGCTGCTATAAATGTCAGACCTATGAGATATATCTATAAATATGTATAATAATATGCATATTTTATTATTCCTTACATGGTCATAGTCTATGTTTTTTTGATTGACTCATTCTATGATATGTATCTCACTTTAGAAAAATACGTAATGATTGATACCAGTGATTGCTGAATTATGTATTTCAAACCAACAGGAGAGACCGTTGATATCATTATCCTGTCCAGCTAGCTCTTCTAAGTTGATTTGGTTGATTTTCCTCTGACATTCAATCAAACATTGTGCTACATTGAAAAAACCACAGTCACATGTCTGACAAAAGGGCTTTCAGGAAATGAAAGTGAACTTGCTTGCTTACTTTTGAAAAAGTAAATGAAAGGCAAACTAGTGGCAGAAAAAGATTATTTATATTTTATGTTTGTTAAAGGATTTGTCAATCTATACATAATGTTTAGAATTTATTTTTAAAAGCATCTGCTCATATTCTAAATGCATAGAAATATATTTACCAATTAGGCAAAAAGGGAAAAATAAGAAAGGTATAGACAAGGAAGGTAATATGTGAATGTAAATTAAGAAAGTATTTCTCCCTAAAAGAATTAACATTGAACTATTTATAAGTTGAAAAGAAATTCTCCAGTTTCCAAGACATGAGAATTAGATCTTTATATTTTTATCAAAACTTCTTATTTAGACATGATTAGGCAAATTAAATGTGTTGCTTTTGGTGAGAAAATTTCTAACATATAGACATATTTTCAGAACAGAGCAGACTGGTAAAGCAAGTTACCACAGCAATGCTTTTAGATAGATTTGGGAAGATACATTTGCATGGATGCAATAGTGTCATGCATTTTTACTGAAATGTTCTGTTTCCATGATCTCTATCTCCCCTCACATACCTCATGTCTTGCTCTCATTTTAAAATTTCTGATACGTCTTCATTTGATTTTAGGTATTTTGTTGGTTTTCATATTGAAAGCTATGTGTAAGTCATAAAATTAATATCCCCAATGAATTGAGGTTTTCCTTCCTTTAAAGCTTCATTTCTTCTGGATATTAAAACACCCAGATGATAATCAAGATGAGGCTCATGATAGCTTATGATTATCAATTACCATGTGTCAGGTTTCATATTAAATGCTTTATGAAGACTTCTAATCATTATAATGCACTAAAAGGTGTGAGCTTTTACTATCTCCATTTAGTAGAAGGTAAAATATAGAGTGGAGAACTTAAGAATTTCACCCAAGATTGAATGACTCCAATGGTGGAGATCGAATCTGAATCTAGCAAATCATAAACAATGTCACAGTGGTGTAAAAATTACTTTACAAGATTGCTTACTTACTTATTCTTAATTCTAACTTTGTGGGGGTTGTTAAGCTTATTCTCTGAAAGCAAAATCCTCAATGATTGCTCAGATTTTCTTTATCCTCAGACCTACCACAACACAAAATTAGCCTTTCGTACAAATTTATTAAGTAATTGAAAAACTCTAAGAACATGACATTTGAACTGATCCATCTTACAGATTAATCAAACTTTTATGGGCAACACATGATAATGTATCTACATTTTGTTTCATAATTTGAAGTCTAGAATCACCATACTACAATTATTATCTTAATAGAAATCATAAAAATTACATATTTAAACCTTGTTAACTATATTTCTCTGGGTAGATTTTTTCCCCCCCTCACTATGAAATACTTATTCTGTATTACAGATGCATCTTCTTGGAGATTCTAGTTCATTAAGCAGAAGATGTGGCTCAAGGAGTCTATGTTTTAAAAAAGGCCATAATACACACATGCAATTCTGAAAATCATCAAGGGTTGAGAAACACTGTTAGACTCCAGCTTCCCTCCACATGCAAAAATTCTTCCTATACTTTTAGTTATGTCCGCTTCCGTTGAGAAGAAGCTCACCTGTTTTAAAAACACTCCATTCCCTTTTGGAGAACTCTATAAAAAAAAGCAAGCTGTTACCTTCCTCTATCTATTGCTTCTATTTATGTTCCTTAAAATGATACAGAATAGGTAGTGTATTTCTCACATGTGAAAACCTTCAAATATCCTACAACATTATTACACAATTGCAAGTCTCTCTTCTTTAAGCATTCCTCATATGCCTGGTTTCCAGACTGCTCATTCCAATCACATTCCCCAGATATGCCAGAGGTTTCAACACCCTTCACCCATGTCAATATCCAGCACTGAGATCATGTTCTATCAGTTATCTGAACACAACTACAGGGGTACCTGGCAGGTAGCATCATTGTTCCAGATTAACTACTTCTGTTAATATTTAAAGGCAATATTTAACTACAAAGTTGTTTGATCTTGTGATTTATGAAATCTGTTGTCAAGGTGGTCTCATTCTATGGCTGTTCCATGCCTCCACCAATTGTATTCTTCTGTAAGTGATCCTTCTAAAGCTACATGTTAGGTCTACAAGTCATATTGTCTAAAACTGTTTATGTATGTATATTTGTCAACAGAAAAGCCATGCAAAAATCTCACTCTCTGACTCATTATAAGAAATACTATATTTTCTGTTAAATTTTGAATGCATATTTTTTCTATATAGAATTGTTACTCTTTTGGATTATTTCACAGACACCTACAATGGCAGTGCCCAGCACCAAATAAATTGTGGGGTGTTTCTGTCGGCCTCTAACTGTATAATAGTCAAGGGCTTTAAACCAGAAAGAACGTTATTAAATATCCTTCTTTCATGTGTACTGGAAAAGAAAGAAAAAGGCTGCCTGCCTTCACACTTTTTCTTCTTTGTGTTTAAAAGGAGTGAAGAATCTTAAAACATTCCAAGTTTTAATGTGCTTCACAACGTTTTTAAAAGTTCTAGGGATATGTTCAAAGCACTGTCCAGGGAACTTAGCCAACTGCCTCCCATTAGCATGAATAGAAGTTCTGCTGACTTCTATACACCACTTTGAACATTTATTTGCCCCTTAATGTTTTCCTAATCAAATAAAAAGTTAACACTTAATTATTCCATGACTTTGAATTTTGGAGGAAAGTTATTTTTTTGTGTGTGTCTGATTCTTTCCAAACTGAAAACAAATTTATTTAACATTAATTTTCATTCTAAGAAATTCAAAGCTACAGGTAGGAAGAAGAGGGTTCATATATAGTACATGCATATTATAGATGCAAAATACACACATGTTAAGAGTTCTTCACTGTGGATATATATTTGTCATGAACTAAAGTAATATGGTAAATCATGGATATGGAAATTACCTTCACCTAGAAACTTTATATAGGTATAGTCTTATATAACCAAAATTACAAAGAAAATTTTAGTATGCTAAATATGTGCATATTTAAAATATATTTGCCTATTTTATTGAAGTGAGTTAGTTTTTCTTGCTTTTTAAAAACCTTGTTAGTCTTTGTCTTAATTTTAAAGTAGCATGATGTGTAAAAGACATCAAAGAGTTT